TCCAGCTGTCCCTCCTCTTTGACACTGTCTTGGGCAGTGTTCTTACAGGGACTTCTTGAACTGCCTTCCTCTGCCTCCACCTCCCACCCACCCCTACTCCCCCACCCACCCCTGCTCCCCCAGCCCCATCTCTGCTTCTCAGGCCTTCTCTCTGCAGAGGCCCTGGGAGCCTCTCCTTCTCCACCTTCACTGGATATATCTTATTCCAGCTTTGCCAAAGAATACCAATGTCCCCCAAGATGTCTCAGAGCCGGACTTTCAATGTCAGCCAGCCTCTGGTTGGTGAAGGTTTCCGCCTCTGTTTTGGGAGACTCTGAAGTAGGAACAAAACGATCTGCCCTGAGGGAAGGGTGCAAAAAAATCCCAACAGGGAAGGCAGGACACAGACCCAGGGCAAGACCTGAGAAGGGCAGTGTAAAGGACATGGGGGTGGGAGCTTGTTTGATTTTTCTCGAGATAAAGCTGGGAAGGACGGTAGTATTTTGGGATTCAAACTGCCTTTGAAAAGCAAGAATAATGAGCCAAAAACCCAACATGATGACATTTAAAGGGAATAAATATAAAATTCTACATTTAGGCTTTAAAAAAAATCACTTATGTAAGCGCAGCATGGAGAGACTCTAGTGGAGAAAGAACTGGGGGTTTTAGTTGGCCACAGGCTCACAGGCTTGCTGTAGCAACGTGATGCAGCTTCCAAAGGCGTTTATGTAATGTAATCATGGGCCACTTCGCTAAAGCATCCTGGCCAGAAAGCAAGAGATGGTGAGCCTTCTTTCATGAAAAGAGGAGGCCACCATTGAAAATGTCGTCACACTTCCGATGGACCCTTACCTGGTCCTCCCTGGCCATCCTGATTTGCAATGAAAATAGTAAGCTTTTCAAAAGCCAGATCAAGTGGGAAATGGTCACGAGTTCAATCTGAGGAAGAGCTCTAAGGGAACCTGGGTCTGTATTTACAGGCACGAAGGGGAGTGTCAGGTGGGAAGGACATGAAACCAAGGGGTGGAGATCCTCAGGGACAGGTTTTACTTTGTATAAAAGACAACCCAGAGCCAGTGGGATGGCTCAGCAAGCTAAGGCACTTGTCACCAGGCCTGAGGACCTCAGTTAGATCCCCAGGTCTCGTATTGTGGAGTGAACCGACTCCCACAAGCTGTCCTCTGACCTCCACATACATCCTGTGGCACATATGCACACACACCCATGCACAGAAACACAAACCAACGCAATACACAAAGGTCTGGGCTTCTAACGAGGTGGTGGGCTTTGAATCCTGGGAGGTAATCAATGCAGCCAGCTGCCCATTGTTTTGGGGGTGAGGCGACGAGGCTCTGTGGGAAGTGGGAAGCTGGACGAGATGATCCCTAAGGTTAGTTTTAAGGTTACGCTTCTCAAAGGAGAGTGGGGGAAATAAAGAGAAGAGAGCAAATGGAGAAGAGAGCTGACCAAGGAGAGGTGGGACTCTTGGGAAAAGCAGAGGGTTACGGGGTAAAGAGGCAGAAGAGGGAAGGAGGCTGGGATCCCTTTGACTGACACCTCTCTCCCTCCTTGCAGGAATGACATGCCAAGCTCGAAGCTCCTACCTGGTGGATGAAGTGCTGTGGGGCCACCGGTTCACGTCTGTGCTCACCCTGGAGGACGGCTTCTACGAGGTGGACTATGCCAGCTTCCACGAGACCTTTGAAGTACCCACGCCCTCATGCAGCGCCCGGGAGTTGGCAGAAGCTGCGGCCCGCCTTGATGCCCATCTCTACTGGTCCATCCCCAGCAGGCTGGATGAGAAGGTGGAGGAAGAGGGGGCAGGGGAGGGAGCAGGTGGGGGAGATGGAGCTGACAAGGAGCAGAACGGCTGCCTACCACCCCCCGAGAGTGAGTCCAAGGTGTGACTGGTTTTCTCCAAACCCCTGTGGCAGACCAGGGGGCTAGGCACAGGAACATGGAAGCTGCAGAGCGGAGAGAGAAGAGGGAGGAGGCAGGCCATGTCCCAAGGAGTGGCTTAAAGTTGGGAGAGGCTCACTGAGTCCAGGATCCAGTAGCGAAGGAAGAAGCCCTGGTTTGAAGAGAAGAGAGGGTGGGAACGAGAGAACATATGAGTCTGTCTGTGTTTGACCTTCCCATCTGTTCGTGGGTGGATGGATGGACCGAGGATGGGCTCATGGGGTTGAATGGGAAGGTGGGGCAGACAGAGACAGCCAGTGGATAGCTTGGCTGGCAAAATGAATCAAGAGTCGGTGAACTCAGTGCTGCCTTAACCTGCAGCATGCCTTTGTGCGAAACCTACCTGTACCCTTTTCTTCTAGACAGAGGCAGCCTCCAACCAGGGGACGCGGCTAAACCAGGGGACGCGGCTTAGGGAGTAGAGTGTCCGATGGACTGCTGCCGCCCCCACTCTCCTCCTCAGCTGGCCTCCCTACGTGCGATGCACCTGTCTAGACAAAGTGGCCACCACTGGGCCGGAGGAGAGGAAATGGGGTGGAGGAGGGCGTAGATGTGACCCTCTCCAACTTCACTGTCCCACTCTGACAGGCTCAGAAAGCCTTCATCCTCAGGGGACAGGCAGACAAGCAATGGGGGTAGATGCTGAGCAGGAGCCCTGGCGCAGGACCAGGAGCGACCCAGGGACAGCTATTTTGTGACAGCGGAGTGAAACCTTGCAGGCACTGCTTACAGAAGCAAGAAAGCAGAGAGACTCTGAAGCAGAAGAAAGGCCATGGGAGACTTAATAAGTGGTTTTATGAGGGAAGCCTGATCCCTAGGGAAAGTAGTTTATCCTTGGGGGCACAGTGACAGGGACTCATTCAAAATGGTGATTGGGTATCAGGGGTGGCATTCAAAGACTTGGTCCTAACATAAGAACACAGCACAGGTGGAGGTCAGAAATCCCCACCACCACCACAGCAACTGAAGGTAGTGTGGCTCACACTAGGAGCTCACACTAGGAGCCCACCCAAGCTCTTAGAGCCAGGTGTGACAGGCCAGTAGCAACCAGGACGCTAAGGGCTGAGTAAGGCAGGGGGAATGGTGGGAACCATCAGTCACAGAGCTTTGCGTCACTCACCTGGAGGGCTTGTTAAAACAGATTGCTGGGTCCCACTCCCAACATTCTGACTCAGTAGGTCCGGGATGGAAACCAAAAAAATCTGCACGTCTAACTAGTTCCCAGATCTGACAGGTTCCCAGATCGTGCTGACCCTGTTGGTCTGGGGACTACGCTTGGATGAGGCATCTAAGCGGAGGAGAAGCCGCAGAAGCTGAAAGGAAGCCGAGGAACCTTAAGAACAGAGAAACGAGAAGGGAAATGTCAGGGAAAGGGACCCAGGTCCAGGCTGAAGAGCTGAACTTTGGGTCCAAGAACGGAAACGTCAGTGGTAACTGGCCAGTGACACTGAGGTGTCATCTGGGAAGATGAGAGGGCATCAGGGACAGGTGGAAAGAGTTCGAAGGCCTTTTGGGGACCCCTGAGGAGGCAGTGGGGAGCTAAAGCTGAATGGTCTTTTATCACAAAGGATGAACCCTCTAATAAGACTGACAAGGCAGCATTGACTAGGGGAGAGAACGGAGCTTACACTTCCGGGTATCTGCTGCCTGCCCTCTGTCCCGCCAGGACAGGGGACCCTGGAGATACATACCCCCACCCCACCTCCGCTGCATCCTGGCCTTGTCCCCAGTCATCTTGGGGTGGTGAGGGGATGGCGATGGCAGATTGAGGAGCAGAAGGTCAGTCAGGGGACTTGAGGCTGGCCCCCGGAGCTAAGTGTAGCCCAGGTGAACATGTCCTCCGATGGGGATGGTTCAAACCTTGGCCCTGGCTACACCCACTCCTGCCCTCGAGTAAAGGTCTGCTGCTCTGTTCCAGGCTAAGAAGCCAGCACCCAATGGGGGCACCGTGCCTCCCTCCCAGGGCCCACCTCAGCTTAGGTCCACTCAGAGGACGCAAGCTGTTGCCTCTCCCTTTCAGTGTGACAATGGACTCAGGTTTCAGGACCACCTGGGTCACTCTCAAAAATGAGGTCCATGAACACGTGTCTGCTGCAGTCTCCCATAGACACATTGAGCACTGAGAGTGGCCGGGGTTTGAATTCAGGGGGAAACGGTCGAGTCTGCGCAAGAGGGGGTGGTGCTTGGCGTCCACATACAAAGCCCTGGAATGGAGACATTGAAGCTGCTCCTGGAAGTTGCTGAGATGCCACCACTCAGGGCACCGCTGTCCAAGGCAGTCAGTTGACCTGTGTCCTAGTGCCAACGCTGATTGTCACTAATTACCTCTATGACTCTCAGTAAGATACATTACTTCTCTGGGCCTCAGTTTCCTTTTCTGTAAAAAAAAAAATGATATTTGGCAAACTCGTAATGCTCAATAAATGTTAAATTACTAAATGAAAAAGGTAGACTGGATGCCACTTGAAGTACAGAACAGCCCAGACTCTCAGGACCAGAGAATCCTTAGGCAGGGAGGTACGGCCTGTGTAAGCCGAGGCAGCGGCTCTGTGTACACAGAGGACACAGGCCCTCCGAAGCTGTTGTCCCTAAGTAGGCAGCTGTATTCTGAGGCTCCTATTCTGCTGCAGTCAGAGAATAATTAAGGTCAGGGTGAAAAAGACTGAGGCCCCAAGGCCTGCTGGGAGGAGTCTGGTCCAAGACTAGCCCAACCAGGAGAATGAGACAAGGAGGGTGTGCCCCGGTCTGGGGAGCTCAGGAAGCTGTGAAAGGGGCCAAGCTCAGCTGGAACTCACCCTTGCTTCCCATGTTCCTGTCCCCAACAGAAGCCCCGTGAGGCGTTGGCTCAGCACTGACGTTTTCGGCAACAGATGGGACCCAGGCATCCCCTCCTGCCGTGGGTGGGTAGCAAGGCCCACGAAGGACAGATGGTGTTTATGGTGGGAAGAGAGGCCTGGGTTGTCCAGAATAGGTTGTCAACTCCCAGCAACCTCCCCACCACCACCCCCGCCCCCAGTCGCCGCCTTTTATAGCTTCATGGCAAGGAAAGACACAACCAGGCCTGGATTTTATAAAACCAGTTTATTCACATTTTAGAAAACAAAAAACAAAAAAATCTAGTCTGAGGACAGGAACTGGCCTTCCTACAGCACGAGTGTGAGACCAAGAACAGAGAACCAGAAGGAAGACCTTGAGGAAAGATGTGGGGTGGGGGGCATGTCTCTCACTCTAGGTAGGGACAGGTCAAATAAATTAAAGGAGGGGCTGGATGGAGGAGGGAGAGGGTATCCAGGCAACGGGAGGAGGGCTGTCGCTGGCTGGAAGACAGTTGACACCTGCAGGAACTGGAGAGAGCATGTGGAGCAGGCTGAGGAACAGGCTCCCTTTCCGCCCTCACCCTGCTACACGATCCTGCAGGACTGAGCTGGCTGTTTCTCGTCCAGGGGGAGCTCACGGGAAGCCTGAGGAAGACGGGGTTTGGGGGTCCCTTTCCCTCACCTGGGGTGCCACAGATCACCGCTTCCGCAGCCTCTTCATAAAGCAGCAGGTGATTGTAGCGAGGACACTGGCGCCAGTGACTAGGGCGACTCCTGTACCCGCCAACAGGGGCACGAACAGGGTGTCCAGAGCTGGAGGAAAGAAGGCAGCTCCGCTCAGGGGGTGCCATGGTCCTCCGCCCCGCTGTCTGTCCTACAGGTCTCTGGCACTCTCCCCAGCAGGTTTTCCAGACTCAGCCCCCTACTCACAGAGCGCCATCCTTGCCCACCCACAGCCACCCCAATCAGCAGTGAGGTCAGCTTGGGGCTCTTCATGCACAAGGATGCGGGGGAGGTGGGGATGATAGCAGGGAAAACAGGAAAACGGAAGTGGGTCAACACGGCTGGAGCAGGTGAGTGGAGGGTGGTTGTCACTTACCATGCGTGTAGGGGTAGACTGTGACAGGCCCGGAGCGCGCACTGCCCGCCTGGTACCAGCTATAATCAGCATGCTGCACCCAGGCGCTTGGGGCGCAGTGGTATATGCCTTCATCGTCAGGCCCCAGACTGTGCAGTCTTAGCCGATGACTTCTGGGTCCCACCAGCTCCACGCTGACGGGACCCCCTCCAGGCCGGACTCCCAGCTCTGCCACACCATCCTGACCGACTCCACCCACAAGCTGAGCAGGCCCAGAGCTTAACTCGCCCTCCTCTGGTCTCTCCACCCACCAGCTGGCGGCTAGTCGCAGCCCCGGGGGACCGCCACGCACAGAGATGTTGCATAACAGGGAGGCAGTCTCTCCCCGGTACACGGTGCCCCCCGCGAGCCATGCCACGGCTTCCAGCACCACACCTGCCGAGCAAAGGACACGGGAGGTTACCGGGTGAAGGCGCAGGGGCTAAGAAGTTAGGAAATAAGTTCTATAAGCTCTGAACCCTGTCAAGGGCTCAACCTCTCACCTTCTTCCCTCACATGCACAGGGAGCGGCCGGGAACGGGCACTGGCTGCTTCACGAAGCCGGGTCCCGGACCCCCGAACATAGGCTTTGGCGAGGCAGCGGTAGGTGCCTGCATCCCCGGGCCTGGCAGCCTCCAGTCGGAGCCGGTAGGTTCTGGATGCCACTTTCTCCATGGCAATGTGCCGGCCCTCATAGCCAGGGCCCAGGCTGCCGACACCTTCTGTGTCCAGCTGGGCCACCAGGCGGCCAGGCCCAGGAGCCCCTGCAGGAGCCATCTCCCAGCCCACTGAGTACGCCGCATGGCGGCCTGGTGGGGGCAGCGCCCCGGACACATTGCACAGCAGTTCCAAGGGTTCCCCTGGGCCAATCCGGTGTTCACCAGGTCCCACAGTCACCGCCAGCTGGCTAGCTGAAATACAGCAGGGGAAGGGAGGGGTCACAGGGATGCCTGGGTCCCCATCTATTACACCTCTTTGCAAAAATTTAGAGGCCTTTTCTCTGTCCCTCACCCCAGGACATGAATTTCACCCTTCCCCCACAGCCCTTGTCTCTCCACATTCAATCTCTGAGCAGTGGAGACATGGATAGAGAGTGAACAATGTCTAGAAGCTTGCTCACTCCAGGGAAGAAGAGTTCTCTAGTCAGACGGGGGTCATGTAGCACCACCCCTGATGCCCACTGAGATACCCCTTAGGGGGACACGTGATACTCACACAGTGTCTGCACATCCACATGGGCCAGGACTGCCCTCTTCTCTGCGATCTGGACCCAGGAGCCATCAGGATCCTGGATCCATTCAGCGGCAGTGCAGTGGTAGGTGCCCGAGTCGGCAGCCTGGGCACCCCCAACCACCATGCGGTAGCGATCGGTCCCTTCTTTGCTCAGCCGTAGCTCCCCAGCGGCCAGCCTCTCGGCATAGGGGGCTCCAGCCTCCACAGCCATGTCGGAGCGCAGTCCCACCACTTCCTGTAGAGTGGCCCGCCCCACCGGCGCCTCGGGAACGGCTCTCCCGAAGGACACCGACAGGTGTGTGTGCTTCTTGGTTTTAGTCTGAGCCAAGCAGCCCAGCGCCAGCTCCTGCCCCTCGTGAACTGTCAGGCGTGAGGGGGAGGTTGCAGCCTGGCGGCCTCGGGGCCCTGGAGGGGCAGCAGATACCTGCAGCTCATCTGGAAGAACTGGAGAGAAAGGCTTCAGTGAGAGAGGGCCGGGAGCTGGCGGCCCTCCTGTGTCCCGTGTGCGGCCTACTTCACTACCTCCTGGAGGGCAAGGACTTGTATAACTCAGTAGTGCCACCCCCAGTCTGGGCATACCAAGATGCTCAATAAATACCTGCTGGGTTTCACAGAGCAAGCCTGTTGACACCCACTCTGACGTCTGGGATTGACCCGTTTTAAATACTCAAAAAAGTAATTCCGTCTTCCTTCTCTAAAGAGGCTGGACCTGATGGTGCCAGCCTATAATCCCAGCTCCCCAGGATGCTAAGACAAAAGGGTCAAGTTCAAGGCCCACTTGGGCTACAGAGCAAGTTCTAGGCCAGTCCGGACAACTTGGAAAATCTCTGCATCCGGTCCCCACAAAAGAAAAAGAAAGTGCTGGAAAGGTAGTCTTGATGGCACAGGAGACTGACACAGGAAGACTGCTGAGAGTTTTTAAAGTAACCTGGGCGACAGTGAATTGTGGGAGAACCGCCATGAATTACAGGCCAACCTAGACTAGGGTTTTGCAGGCTAGCCTGGGCTACAGGGTGAGCCCCAATCTCAAAAAGCAGCACAGGAGATGTAGCTTAGTAGAATACTTCCTTGGTATACCGCTCAACACTGTAGGTTCCATCTCCAGGACTGGAGGGTGGGTGGGTAGAGAAAGAGGAAGTGGAGGAGAAGGAGGAAGAAGTAGAGGAGAAAGAAGAAAAACTAAATCTGGGAGGCTTTCTCACCACCCAGCTCAGAGCCCAGTACCTCTCAGCTCCACTTTGGCACTGTAGTTGCCCAGGTACTGAGTATCCGTAGAGGGGGTGTAGCACTCATAAAAGCCAGAGTCCTGGGCCTGCAGACGAGCGATCTTGAGCACTACGGAATCTCCCTTCAGGCGCTGCACCTGCAGGTCGCCAGAAGCCACTCGAGGCCCAAACACGGCATAGGAGAACTGGCTATCCTTGGTGCTGATGATGCCCAGGGAAGTAGCTGGGGCCTCCGGTCTGTACATGAACCACTCAAAGTCTTGTTGGGAAGGGCCCTCATAGGCACTCACGTTGCAGGAGATAGAGACAGAGGTGCCGGCCACACGGTAAAGAGGCCCCTTGGGGACATGCACCTGGCGGGCGTAGCACCTGACTCCTGTGGGGAAAGGCAGAAAGAATTGGAATTTTTTTAGAAAGACCAGGTCCCGATTAGATGCCCATGTACCATAAGCACCATTCTCGACAGCTGCCTGTGAAGCAAAGGGAAACACAGGGAAGGTTAGAACACAGCTGGGCCATAAAACACAGATGAGAACAGGGAAGAGATGCTGGAACGTGAGACATCAGCATCTCAGGCATCAACGTAAGCCCAGATCCACCTCAGAGCAGAGGAACACTCTATCTCTAGCTAACTAGAGGTAGAGCATCTATGTGGACAAAGAGTGCAACCTGAGGCCGGGGAGACAGCCCAGTAACATGCTTTCTGAGTTCAATTCCCCGCAAGCACGTAAAAAGCTTGGCATGGCGGCTGGTGGGAAGGCTCAGTGAGTACAAGAAGTTGCCACACACGCCTGACAACCTGAGTTCGATCCCCAGAACACACCATGGCAGGAAAGAACTGAGTCCTGAAAGTTGTCTTCCGACCTGCACACACCCCCACACACATGCACATATAAAATAATAATTTTCTCTACATATAAAATAATAATTTACTACTAATAATAAAGTGGATGGCTCCCGAGCAATGGCACCCGAGGTTAATCTCTGGCCTTTACATGGACACTCATATATGTACACTTGCACCCATGCACACACATGCACCCCCCTTATACCACAAACGCACAATTTAAAATAAGAAGCATGTCTGACTCCCGACTCCCCAGTTCTCGGCTGGATCTTTAGCTCTCTCACCCTGTCATTCGTGTGTGGGGGGGTGTGCTCAGGTGGAGCCTCTAGCTAAGGGAGTCGGAGACCTTTGCTGGAGGGGACCTTGCAAAATCTTACAGAACGGCTGCTTGGCTTAGCTGTCACCTGGGCTAGACAATGGAGCCAGTGGCCCAGGCTGGATGGGGCACCATGCTGAACAGGGCACGGGCCTAGTCAGTTCTCGCCACACAATACCCTCTCCGCTACAGCTGTGCCATGAGCTCACTGCTTCTCCCAGCCCACAGGGCTACACAGGCAGCTGCGGCTTCTGGGGCAAGAATCAGGCTCTGCCCTGGCCTGGGGCAGAAGATCCCCCCCCCCCCCCCAGAGTCTGTCAACCTTCTGGCTAGTCCAGATGATGCACCATGCATTCCCCCCCCCCAACAAAAGCTTTCATTTGCATATGATTTGCATGTGCTGCACATCATTTACATAGGCCCCTTTCTGTAGGGAGACCCTAAGCACCTGCAGACCCTCCCCGCCTCCCTCTCTCCACCCATTTTACCCCCATCCCTGTTCCAACAGACAGTCGCAAAACCTTGGAGTGCTCAGTTCCTTTCTTCTCTCCACCATTCCACAGCTACTTCTAGAAAAGCCCACAGAATCCCAGAATGCAAGGAGAGCTGGCAGTCATTTCACAGACGAGAGAAATGATGTAACTCCCCTGGAGAGCACATCTAGGGAGTGCTGGGGCTAGGATCTGAACCCAGACCTGAGTCTAAAGCTTTCTACTTGCTCTCCTAGCCAACACAGAAGAGAAGGACTGGCTCAGGAGAGAACCATGTCTCTTCTAGATGAGAAAAGTAGGACCGAGTGTGATGTTTTGGTCAAGATCTTGCCATCTCTGGAGGGCCTCTACACACCCCCGAAGAGGGACAAAACCAAGAAGATGCGACATTTCCAAGGGGAGGCCTGGTTTACCAAGCTGTGTAATTTGGACTCCCAGGGGAAGTCCACAGTCTTGCTACTGGCACTGGAGGAAAATACCAGGCCCCTGAGAGCCTGCCCTCCAGTCCTTACTCCTTTATGCTTCCGCTGGCTACGTAACTCAGAGAACACATGATCATCACTTGAAGCAGAGGCTAGCATCAGGAAACTAACACAGGACCAATTCTTTCCTCTCCCGGGTCTCAGTTTCTCCCTTTAAGAACTAAGAGCGTCCAGTTCTGACGTTGAACCAGTGAAGTGTGTGACTCAGGCACGCACTGCTCCAGGCACATTTCATAATCAGGGTGATGTTGAAGACAGCCACGCTGACACCTTCCCAGCTGCCCATGGGTAGACTCTGCTCAGAAGGCCCCCTCCCACCTTCCTGGCTCCACAAGTGCTAATGCCTGGAGATCCCCATGGGAAAGTTGTCCCCACAGCCTCAGGAAATAGGCTGCTACAAGGTTCTCTCTTACCAAGCCACCTCCTCTCTAACATCCAAAGGCCTGACTTGGGAGTCAGAGCCGAGTTCAAATCCTAGCCCCAACCCTCATGAGATATGCTCTCTGGAACAAGATATTTCATTTTCCTCATCTGTGAAGCGAATGTCAGTGCTGAATGTGGTGGGCTCGGACGCCAGCAGCCTCTTGTGGCTCTCTGCAACACTCACCCCTCCTGACCTCCCCTCCACTTATCCCTGCTCCATAAAGCCCACTGGGGAAAAGAAGCAATCACTAGGCAACCAAGCCCCAGAGCTTCATTTCCCTGCAACACTCTCTGCCTCCTGCCTTGTTCCCCAAGGAGAGTTTTCATCCTGGCCCCAGAAGCCCAAGACTCTGACACCATGCTGTTTGGTCTAAGCCAGAGAAGGCAGTTGAGGTGCGACAGGCTTCTGCCTTGACTACAGCACCCCAGAATCCTCCCCATACGTATATCCTCCCCTTATCCACACCACACACACACACACACACAACCAGCCATGCAAGGTTGGCCCAGATCACACCATCATAAACACTCATCAGGACAGACACTAGGTACTTGGAGATCTCAGGTTCAGTTTCCATGGAGCCTCGTTTCTCCTGGGGCAAAGATGTTGGGACCAACTGAGTGTGACGACCGGCCAAATGTCTGGGAGAGTGGAAGGAGGGCAAAGAGGGACTGGCCAGGGTGGAGACAGAGATGAGGGAGGGATGGTAAAATGTGTGTGTTGGGGGGGGGGGGGAGGCGGTTAGGGGAGACTTTCTTCAAAGACCGTGGGCAGAATCAGCCCCTGGGCCTCCAGCCAACTCTGGGGCAATTATGAAGACCGCCAGGCACTGCCCACGCAGAGCAGGCACCCAAGGCCAGGCCCGGAGCCTAGAATGGGGTTAGAAGATTGTCACAGTATTTGGGCGCAACGACCCCAGGGCCTGGGGTGTAAAGGCTGGGAAGTGGCGCCTGCCTCCGTGGGTCCAATGGTGTCTCAGGAGATACCTCAGTAGGTCGCCAATATGCCCCAGCTGGGGCCTAAACCTAGGGCGTCACCACCCTCCCCTTAACCGACTGGGCAGGCGGCCGCAGAAGGAAGAGAGGCGCCGATCCCAGAGAGACCGAAGACACGCCTGATGGAGAAGTAGGGATGCAATCAGCTCCAAAACGCTGGCTGGATGCGCGACGTCAGGCACCTACCCGGCCGGCCGGGACTGGGACGCAGCGACCACTCGGCTTACCAAGCATTAGCAGCAGCAGCAGCAGCAGCAGCAACAGCGGCGAACTCAGCGGCGTGGGGTTGGGGACGCCCATTCTGCGTAGGCGGCTCTGGGGAGGCTCCGGGGGTCGGCGTGGGCTCTGGGGGGCCAGGGCCGCGAGGGGCACATGCCCGGGTGGGGGGCAGAGAGCGGAGCAGTGAAGCGTGGGTGCGCAGAGCCCAGCTGAGCGGGAGCCGCCAACTCCCCGCCCTCCTCTCCTCTTCCCCTCCTCCCGCCGCTCTTCCCGCCCTCCGCAGCTCGGGAGACCATTCCCGCCGCGCCCCGCTGCCCGGCCCCGCCCACACGCCCGGCCCCGCCCCCGCCCCGCCCCGCCCCGCCCCTGGCCGCCGCCTGGGCCAGACTTCGACCCTGACAGTTGGCTCCGCCCCTGGCCGCAGGCTGGGCGAACTGGCGGCACCTAGGCTCTCCTGTCCCTACCCACCCTCGCTCAGAGCGCACCCCGCCCTGCACCTGCCAGCCTTTCCGGGAGAATCGGTGCTCGCAGGGCCCTCTGGGGATAATGGGGTGACTGTGGTTACGCACTCAGAATCCAGTTGGGTGATGTGGGCCGCTGAGTCCTGGCAGCAAACGCTGCTGACTTATGTGGGCATGCCGGGACCCAGGACTTCCTGGGCGTGAAGCGGTTGGACTCAAGGGGCATCAGGGGCCTGGAAGATCACCGAAATCTGTTCTAATACCCGGTTAGAAAGCAAAGCGAAAGGAAAGTGGGTTAGCGGTCCAGACTTCCTAGCTGGGTGGGTGATCCTTGTTCGGCTCAATCCTCAGTTTTCCCCCTCCACATACGGAAGAGAGATTGTAAACACTCAAAAGTTACGGTGATAATTAACTGAGGTCAGGCACATACGTTGGTTGCACACGGTAACTATGGGGGTATTTTGTTTTTGCATTAAACTGCTTTCTACCAATTGGAGTCGGCAATGAGACGATATGGACACACCTCTCTGCTGGGAAGGGTGGAGCTAGCCTGGAGGTAGGAGAAGGGAAGGAGTCTCTTGTGCTGTGTCTCCACTGTGAAAAAGGCGGAGAGTTGGAAGGGTGGAGCCAGAATGGGAAGAAGGGACAAGCCAGACCGCAAAGCCAAGGCTGTGGAAGAGGCCATTAGTGGGAAGTGGCCCAGAACACATCTAGGTCCCTCACCTCCACACCCAACTAGTTCCCCTATTAAGGAAAGTGAGGTACACAGAGAGAAAGTGGTCCAGGCCAGAGCTGACTTCCTACTCTCAGAAGAAGTATTCATGGGGCTGCCAGTTGAAGCCATATTCAGCAACCACAGAGAAACACGATAAGAGTTTGGGAACCTATGGAGAAGTCAGAAGTCCAACCCGGGTCTCTCAAGACTGCCCAGCAACAGGATAAGGGACCTGCTGCTTCCTACCTGGCCATATTCCAGCCTGGTTTCTTATTTCCCTAGAAGCCATGTTGAGCTATGTGGGAACTGCACGCTGCAGGGAGACTGGAAGGAAATGCAGTCTCCCTTTCGCTGGAAGTTGAGTGGATTGAATGCCTTCCTGGTACTCAAGGTTTGAAAGTCAATCATCATCATCATCATCATAGCAGCCATTTATGGGATGGTTACACAATAACACCACCTCGTAGATAGCCTTTCCAGCCTTCACAGTTTATTTTACAAGACAAAGTCATTTAACACAAGGGAGATCAGAACTTCAAGACAGTTAAGTATCTTGCCCAAGGCCATACACATTTTAAGTTAACTAGCTAAGACGCGACTTTAAAGCTCAGGCCTGGTGTACACACTCTTTAACCCTACTGTTCGAGAGGCAGAGGAAGGCAGATCTCCATGAGTTCCAGGCCAACCAAGGCTACAGAGTAAGATCCTGTCTCAAAGCATACAAAAACAAAACAAGACAAAAATCCACAAAACCTCAGCCCTGACTGTCCCCAAATCCTTTTGTACCCACTGTTCACTTCTTTTAGGACGAAAACTCATTCATGTAGCAGATGCTGACTGGGCCAGGCCTTGTGCTGGATTTTGGTAATGCCCTAGTAAGCAAGGCTACGATGGTCTCCTGCTCTCAGGGATGACATTTTTGCCTTAGTGCAACATTGGGTAAAGAGGTAGCAGCAGTCAACACTCAATGTAATCATTATGGGATGGTAAGGGAGGGGCACTCTTCAAGGAGCTTATCTCGTGGCTTGGGATAAAGGGGCTCCCACACGAGTAAGTAGAGTTTAGGGGTTGGGCTGGTATCTCCAGAGGAGTTGGGGCCTAAGGAAACCGCATACACCCTCCCCAAACCGTGGAGTCCAGCAGTGGCCAGCAGAGGGAGCCCAAAGTCCAGGACCGACTCACTCGGTAGCTGCTTATGTAACCAGGAAAGCTGGGGCGGAGAGCAAATGCCAGGCACGAGGCACATCACACACGGGCACATGTCCCCCACTGAAGTCAAGGGGCTTCGCGCAGACAGGCGCTGCGCACAAACCCAGCAGGGCAATGCTCAAACCACACGCACATGCAGCAAAGGAGAGCAAGATCGAGGTCAAAGACTGGAAGGCACCCCTGTATCCATGCATCACTCCCAGAAGAAAACACAGGCTTACGCAGTATCTCGACTGGTGTCCTGGGGTGGGGTAAGCAGAAAAGCAAGGGAGCCTTTCAGACAGTCTCAAGGTCAGACTAAGGCATGGAAAGGAAAGAAGCCTGGGATGGTAGAGACGTGGATGCAGAAGTGACCCCTGGGACTCTGGCACCGTGGTGCGTAGCTGAGTTGGGTTGTCGCTTACCATCATTACCAGTTTTTCCACCCACATTTCCATGTACTACCACATGTGGGCAGACATCAGTCACCGGTCTTGCTTCATACGCTTATTTAACTCATTTTGCCTCCAGATGGCATATGCATGAGACATCTAGGTGACAGTAAGGTACCATGAGTATCATTAAAAGTAATTAAGACCCAAGGTCTGCCCTAAAACGGTTATAATGGTTATAATCTGGCTGAACTCTCATATGCTACAGTCACAGCCAGCGGGACAATGACCCTCATGTTCAAAGACAAGACTGTTGAGGTGAAATATTCTGCCCTGGGCTGGCTATGTAACACAATTTTATTTAGTCCTCAGAATAACCTGTGAGCACCTTTCTCCACAGAAAACTAAGGCATGGAAGGGCTAGGGAATGTTAGACTTGTCTAGTGTTAGATTCCTTGCAGTCTAAATTGAGATTTGCATCTAGGATCCTCTAGCCTATTACACTGTAAAAGCAAATATCACAGAAGAAAGGAAAGAAGGAAGGAAGGAAGGAAGGAAGGAAGGAAGGAAGGAAGGAAGGAAGGAAGGAACCCTAGCACATACACACATATATACGCATAGAGCTATAGATACAGGTATTGCTGAATCAACCTGACAAGCACACCAGCCACAAAGCTAATACAAAAATGACACAAACACACACAGAGCATTCCACCCTCAGTTAAATATGTGCAGCTTGGAGGGGTGCTAAGGATCACACACAAGAATGTCCTGTGTTTGTGTTTACAAAGCCTTGACCTGGACTACAGTTTCCTCCCCAAAGGGAAAGTTCTCTGCTGAGAGGTCACAAAAGGGGTCAGACTCAAAAGAAGAGCAAAGCCCTCACCTGGACAACAAACTTGGGCAGAGAATGAAGCAAATATAAACACACAAGCATCATGCACACCCAAACATATTCCCAGACCCATAAAGATGCTCATTCCACCTCTTCTTCCTCCCCTGAGCCGTGTGTGCCCCCTTACAGTGTGTTCTCTCTGTCTGTCTCTCTGTCTCTGTCTCTGTCTCTGTCTCTGTCTCTCTCTCTCTCTCTCTCTCTCTCTCTCTCTCTCTCTCTCTGTGTGTGTGTGTGTGTGTGTCTATGTAACGCAATCTTATTTAGTCCTCAAAATAACCTGTGAGCCCTTTTCTCCACAGAAAACTAAGGCATGGAGGGGCTAGAGAATGTTAGACTTGTCTAGTGTTAGATTCTGTGTGTGTGTGTGTGTGTGTGTGTGTCCTGGTCCCTCTTCTTGCCCTGACTGAGTGCACACTCCTAGTTCTCAAGACCTGTGCCAAATGGGCAGCACAGTTGTTCAAGAATAGAGGAGCCACTATGCAACTTGGGCCTTGGCATGACCTTATCCTGACCCACTGAGTGGGCCCAGCCATTTCTGCACCCAGGATGAGCGCCAACTGCTTCCCACTTTGGAATGCCGCACATGGATCCCTCTGAGCTGGAATCCCCTGAGCCTTCTCCCGGGCCAAGTCCTGTGTTCCCTACTCCTGTAGTGTAGGTATCCGGGGCTCCACCCCCCAAGGCTCCTTGTTCTCCTCTGTCCCCAGCCAGCTGAGAAGGAACAGCTGGTTCAGACTTCCATCTGGAGGGTTTCAAAGAGCTGAGGCCACCCTCCCTCTCACTGTAGGAGATCCCTAGTGGGGTAGACAGCAGTGAAGGCAGGGGGTCACCGCAGTGTGAGTAGACAGAGGTCTGCGGGCTGAGTGTAGATGAGCCTCAGGGGGCGAGAGGTGGTTAGCACCAGGTGACTGCCTCTGAGTCACCAGGTTGAGCAAGAGGCAAATTTGAAGAACAGGTCATTTATGGGTTTGACTGCCTCCAGCCGAGCTTACTGCTTACTGAAAGGCTGCTTTGTGCTGGGCGGGCGCTGTGTACACACTCCACACTCGCTCATTCAGTCCTCACCACAGCCTTGGAAGCGAAGAGCTGTGCTTACCTCTGTGTTAAGACCAGGAAACAGGCATTGAGACCTTGTGTAATTCACCCAGGTTTGCTTAGCAAGCACTCTGCGGTACTCACAGGCAAAAGCAAACTGACTTCAGAGCTTGAATTTTCGGAACGTAATTCTCCCTCCTGTATTGGAACCTACACACAGTGTGTGTGTGTGTGTGTGTGTGTGTGTGTGTGTGTGTGTGTGTGTGTGTAGCACACAGTGGGTGTTCTGTAAATATTTCTTGACTGAACAAATGCAGCGCTGGAGGCCCCGGATAAGAGGAACAATGAGAGTTGTGTGCTGTGACTTCGAGGGAAAAAGAGGGAACAAGAGTGAATTTCGTGCACCCACACCGAAGACTCACTTCTCACTGTGGGGTTGCAGCCCCTCACAGCCTCCTAGGTGAGGGAAGAGCTGGAAAGCACTCCGAGGGGGAGAGGCTTCTCTGTTCTCCCCTCCAAGCAGAACAGAAGGCAGGGGGGTGTGAGGGGAGGTGTG